ACTGATTATCCCCATATACAAGAAGGGAGACAAGTCATCCTGTGATAATCACAGAGGGATTAGCTTGACTAATATAGTATCTAAAGCCCTAGGCTCAATAATCATGTGTAGACTAAGTGGTGCTCGGGAGGCACAAACACGAGAGAACCAGGCGGCAGGCTTTAGACCAGGAAGAGTGTGTATTGATCATATTCTCACCCTTCGACAGATTCTAGGACATACGCATTCTTACCGGCGTCCAACAATCATTATATTTCTTGACCTAAAGGCGGAATTCGATTCTGTTGGCCGAGAGGTTCTCTAGCGATGCTTGGCTGTAAAGGGAATGCCGAGAAAATACATGTCACTGAATTTTGCAGTCTGTAATGATATCATTTTACTGTCGATGTACGTAATTATCATAGGGGTCGTAAGTCTTATCTTATTGATTTTTTTTTTTTTTTTGATTTACAGCTTGATTCCACACTGTATTTTTGGTACAAGTATGGAATTTTCAGCATGGATATCGGTAGCCCAAATTTTGCAGGCCGACCATAGATATCAGGTGTGCGCCGGCGTGGGCTCGAACCCCGGACCATGTGCATGGTCGGCGAGAGTCCTAACCACTGTGCCACCGACGCATATGATAAAGTTTTAGGGTGTATCAACGGCTTCTGGTGATATTGTTAGGAGATTAAATATTTTTTTTCTTTCCTTTCCGGAGAGATGACAAGTATTAGCAGAACATAAGGTGGCACGAGAATCTTTTGGATTATGGGTAATGTTCTGAATATAAGCCACAGAGATTGTGTAAGCTGTATGCTATATAATGTACAGTTCTGTTGATACATATAATAACACGATATTGTGCTGCCGAATATGCGTCGCTTAACTTCTACGAATGACTAGACTTGGAAATAAAAAGTGAATAGAGAATGGGAAATTTTTAATGCAGTTATATACATTTTTTTTAAAGTATTCACTTTAATAAACTTACTTTATATATGCCAGGCTAACATATGCTTCCCACTTGGCAAGCTAAAGAGAATTTCCAGTTTGTGTAGGTGTTTATGGAAATATTGCCTTAATATCCGTGCTCTTAGAGTCAGCTGATTGATACAAAGCCTTGCATCATCTAGGGAGGGTTGTTACTCCTCTGTATGATAATGACACTGTTGTCTGTCCGGAAATTCAAGTCTGCTTTACTCAGTGCTTTCATCAGAAACACTACCATTAAGCCGTTCTAGCTGTTCTCAACTCTCCTTAAGATCGATATGAGTTAGCCAACACTAATAACGTGACATCGATTGCTCTGCAGGTAACTAGTTTCCTGAGGTGATGAAAAGTTAGATTTGATATTATTGTTTTTTTTATGAATAAAGTTGTTCCTAATAGACGATTCAAACAATTAAGTGTGCCAGACTGTAAGGACTCATTTTTCCACACGAGTATTTACCCACTGTTTTCACCTTCTGCACGTTTTTGAGTAAATAGTCTTTTAACTGGCGAACTTCTAAATATTGTCTTCTTAATTAGCCTGCAAACGATGTTCACTTAACTACCATCTAGTGTTCCGACGCTTTTTATCCTGTTCACTTTAGTATTAGTACAATATTTAGAAGCGAAATACACTTATATCTTTTATCTTACTTCTGGTCAGGTTGAATTCCTAAACAAATTGTTTTCATTGGGTGGTTATATATCTGTTCAGTCTTAATAACATTGACTGAAATTCATCGATCCTCTGTATAATGTAGTTAATTGGAGCGTTTCACAATTATCCTGGTGATAGATAGGTAATAATCAATCACAACACGTCTATTCAATGAGGTAGACAGAGTTATTCAACCGCAAGAAAAAATGCATCACAGCAGTTGGTCCAAGTAAACAAGCAAACTATTTGGACTACGAACATCTGTTTGAGTGTTTGAAATTCCACGAAAACCAACTGGCATCAAGAAAAGCTGCAGTACACCAGCAATCAAATAACTGATAAAAGAGATGACCAGTATGCTATGAAAAGGCCTGCTACGAAGACAAGATATAATTCAACTATAGTACTTTTGTGGTGTGTCCTATTGATATATATATATATATATATATATATATATATATATATATATATATATAGAGAGAGAGAGAGAGAGAGAGAGAGAGAGAGAGACGTTCATTGGCATAAAAATATCAAGTTACAGAGAGATAGATTTGACGTTAAACAGACCAAATGATTCAGCGTTGCGGAAAAGCCTGGGAGACACGGAAAGAAGACAAAGAAACACAACACGAAGGGTAGAATTAGCACAACACGGAAGATCTGTGACAGATGAGGATATAGAGATAAGATGTACATAGTTTCGCTATGTAGGAATACTAAGTTACAAATAATAATCATTCCTTTACCAAGTCTCTTGTCTTCTACCGTTCCACTTTCTTTCTCATGTGCAAATACACATCATTTTGAAAAACTGGACAACACGATGAAGTCCGCGTTTTCACCTATTAACGTAGATACAGAGAAAAAAGAGATAACTCTTGCTTAAGAAAGGTGACATAATCCGTGTAGGCTTTCGACGTGTTGTTTAAAGTAGTTCCAAATAAGAAAATGTAATTGGAATTTCATAAAATCGACTTATTTGGCAACACTGCCTCGTCAATTTCACAAAAATGCTTATCATTCGAATATATTTTAAAATACATTGGCTTTGTAGTCTAAATTTTCTGTTTATTTTTCAAAGAAAAACAACTGCAATCAACACATGAAGGATTGACATCATCATGTCACACATATAGAAAATATGTCAGTTTTGATATGTGACATCTCTTAGGCTTTATAAAAGTATCCTAGTGATATTCTCTTTTTGTATTGTGGTTTTTATCGTTTATTATTACAGGTTATTAATCTGTTTCCTGTAGTCCAAATAGATACGTGCTCAGATACAGCACTTGTCTTTTACGTGCTAATTTTTTTTAGAAGTGATTAATTTCGCACAGATGATTGTATGCTGTTAGCCGAGGCTGTCGGTACCTTAGATATTCGATTAGTTAGCTCACATGGCCCCACTATCATTGACGGCACAGAGGTTGAAAATACATCTCCAATGTCAAGTACCTTGGGCTGAGTTTTTCCACGGATCTTTCCTGGTCCTCCCACATCTTGGTGGTTACTAGAAAGATGTTTCGCTTAACGTTCTAACTTAGGAAATTTAGGGAATCTGGCATAAAGCAGTCTTTGCTTTCTCAGTTTGTAAATTCTTGTATTCTACCCATCCCCTTAACTGCTCCCCATTAATCTTTCCTGGACTACTTAAGAAAGACTTTGCTTTGCTGAGAAGGGCACTAAAAGCTGTTAGTAGGGCAAGTGGGATATCGTTAAACCAACTAGTTAACACTATTGTGAATAGACATATTATGTCATGTAAGAAACTAGCGAATACAATATTGTCAGACCCCGAGGATCCTCTCTATACGCAGCTGTCTCCTTGCATTTCATCTGGTAGAACTAGAAGCACATATAGGAGGCTATATACTAGGACTACGAAGTACAAATACTCCACAATACCATATCTGGCACAGCTGTTATGTGATGAGAAATCCGTTAGGTATGACACGATAAACTTACTGTGGCACTCTAACAAATGTTTCCCATTAGTTTTTGTTTTTCTTTCCTCGTTACTATTACACTGTTGTTCTCATCTTCTATCACACATCAACTTTATATTTCATATCCTGTGGTGCTGTTTTTTTATCTTTCATTCTTTTTTGGCGTTGGTTTTTTTATTTATTTATTTATTTACTTATTTTTTTCGATTTTAAAAATCTTAAAATTTATGAGGCCATTAGATGCAATATGTTGTAATGCACGCTGAAAATTCCATACCTGTACTACAAATACTGTTTGGAATAAAGCTATTATTATTATTATTTTTCAAAGAGATTAGTAATACAGTTCGTACATTTTTGCACTACTGTTTATTCTCTCAGTTGTGTTCACTTTTTTTGTGCTCAAATGTCTCTTGTGGAATTAAATATACTATAACTTGATATTGATAATGGTAGTTCATTTGTAATGCTAACTTCCACAAAATTAAAATTTTGACAACATACAGAATTTGTTTCTGTTGCAGTAACTGACTATTCTATCTCCATGTATCTATCTATCTACATGTATTGAGATGGTTAGGACATGTGTTACACATGCATGCCTAGCCATCGCCTTCCTCGACGGCTGATCTGAGATGACATAGGAAGGATCAGGTTGTAAAAGAGCTAGTGGTTGACACACCAAAACATGGCCTCATCAGTCGATGAAATCCACAACGGTTAGTTTAAGCCAACCAAGTCAGGAGTTGTAAACTTTGTGGTTGGGCTCCTCGGAATAGCAAAAATCAGTGGATGAAAACAATTGGAGATACGGTTCAAAATTGTTCTTTATGATGGCGCAGATGCATCCACTCCTTGTGATTTATGATGTCCAATAAAACCATATTGTTCTTCCGTATGACTACTCTTTTTGGCCTCACATCTGTTTATTTCTGTTTTGAATCTCTCTTTACTCTTTTCTGGCTTTGTTTGCTAAATGGAGGGAGTGTGACAACTCGAAGTGCTGCACATCTGTGCAAAGTTCTACATTTAAACCAGTCAGTGAGACAGTTAACTGAATAATTGTCTGTACACATTATGCATATTTCTTCAATATTCTTTACTTCCTAATAAAACACAAAGATATTCAAATACTACCAAATCAGATTACCTTAAATCTTGCTATAGATGTATTTTTTATTTGTCAAATACGAATTTTTTCAGATTCTTTTCCTTTTACAAAATGTCATATACTGGGCTAACCATATCGCCTGTTTAATAATCTTAATTTTTTCCCGTTTTGGATAGAGGAAGAGGAATCGATTGTCAATTATTGTTAATCTCCTTTTGATCTCATTACCTTAATCAACCTCGGTATTTACTACAAATATAATACTTCTATGTGTTTCTGTTTTGAATTGTTTTTTTTTCGTCTTCAACAGACTCGATTTCTCCACAGGATTCAAAGTTCAATTTATCTGGTTCTATTCGAAATACCTCGTTAAGTTGTGCTGATGATAGAAATAATAATCACAATGCTAACAATACTCCCATAACCACTACTACTATTGCGGATGATAATAATAATGCTATCTGTTCTGTGAATATTTCCAATGGTAATCATCATTTCGAGGACAACTTTATGCAAGAACATTCAAATGGAAATAAAGAAAACAAAGAATATTGGCATGAAAAAGTTAAACACTACGGTTGGCGGGTTAAATTGAAACCAGAAGTACAAGTGTTAAAAAATTTTCATTTTGATGTTTTAATTGGTGCAGACGGTAAACGCAGTTGTCTTGGTAAGTTATTATCTCAACAGAAGACTTCTTCAGTTCTTATTTTTCTGCATAACTATTCATTAAAATGATTGAGTGCAGATTTAAAGTTTCATCAACGTATGAGTACTTTTCATCCTCGTTTTAGCGAAGTAAGATTGTGTTTTAGATGGATGATCATAATAAATCAAAACTTCAAAAAGTGAAGCATTTGTGAACGGGTTTGTGTTATTGTTCAAGTATACATTTCGTTGACAGTTACTTGCATTATCAGACTGACCGGTGGTCGTGCTAAAATTACTATTTGGTAGAAGTTAGAATTCATGCGCCGGCCATTAAGTCGGTTTCCAGTGTTTGAATGCTCTACGAGCTTTCCTTGTCACCGGAAGGTCATCGACTCGAATCCAGATGCTGCACACTTCTGATGAAACCCAAACTAGGGACTGTCCAGTACTGCCTGCTTTTCAACAGCTTTTCAATTGACATTAATCCGCGATAAAACTTGAAATTATTGAAAGTAATCAACCATTCTGTAGTGTAAATATCTTAATGTATCAGTATCGAATTTTAATCAATTGTTGAGTTATATTCGTGCAACAACAACTACTTTTACTTGACCGAAATTGTTATACTGAGTTAATATTCCTACTTTCCTGTCGTTGACAATTGCTTGATTTTCCAAGTTAATATTGAGTATGCTCCGTCCAATTTTTCTGTTTAGTTTGTCATGCTTGGTAGTACTATAACAGAATAGAATTATTGTGTATTGGCTGAAGTTAGCCTATGTCGTATCTTCACATCAAGTAGAAGACAATAAAAGGTAAGTGGCGGATGCATATAATTATAAGAGTTAAAGGCCATTATAAAACGGAGGGGGATAAGGTGAAGTGAAGACATAGTGTCGTCTTATATCTGTTCACATATTATTTCAGTACTCTTGCCTACTATGGGAACTTGAACTGATACATGATGAAGCATACTGTTGATCAGTATGGGCAGTTCCAAACAGCTCATGTCAATCATTAGAACTCACTGGCCAGATCGAAGTTATCTAAAACCCGGACGACTTTTTCTTGCTTGAGGTTAAACTTACTCCTGGTGTCGTCATGCTTCACAGATATTCAAAAGCACTTGAAGACGTAATTCGTGAAGAACAAGCTTGAACTCGTTTGGGTCTCTATTTCACCAATTATGTATTCGTCTTTCATCATTTATGAAAACGCCATCGCATATATTGCTGATAGACAATTGTCTATATGGACAGGATTGCTCTAATAAAGACAGAGAGAGAGAGGCTTACTTGGGAATATAATTTATATTGTGAAAACCTTACCCATACAAATCATCTATCATTACTCTTCTCAAATGACAGTAGAGTCTTAGAAAGTTTTCCAATTTTATCACTTTTTCTTTGATTGTGCCATAAATGCTTACTAGGCACCATCACAGTGTTAGTGCAGGTTGGTCAAAGTCTGGGCTTACTAACACTCTGTTACAAACAAATCTAGCCTTTGTGGGCTTAAGATGAATGGTTATTGCTGTCTGCATTACCATTACCATGTGTGTAATTCTGATGTCTTTTCGTTTTGAATAAGATTACTTAGAGATCGCTTTCAAAAACATATGGTTTTATCTCGAATTACGGCACGCTTTCCTTACTATTCACTACATGCCAATCTTGAAATTTGTTCCAAAAACCAGAAGCTTAGCTCGGTTAGCTTTTATGGTGGTGCATCACAATCCTCTGGAGAGTCCATAATAAGATGATGCTGTCAGATATGGCTCATCATAAAAGCAATGGCAGATTATTGCAATTTCCTTCCTTCCGCTTTATTCCTATGTTAATTTGATGTAATGCTGGACGCTGCTTGGATGTTTTTGATAAGAATTAACCCACCTGTTTTCATTCTATTATTCCTCATTTATTTTATTTCTACTTATTGTTTTTGTATAATCTCCTGCATGTTCCCTATTCGAGAAAGACGTACAGCATCTCTGTGTTGTTGCCTAATCTGTCCTAATTTTTTTTCACTTTTAGAAGTAATAATACGACAGCAAGTTTTTGTGAATATCTAGTTATGTGGATTGTACAAAATGCACTTTACTTTCAAAATTTTGAATAATGCGTTCGCTGTTTAAGGTCTGTACGGGAGGGGTTGAGGGGAAGAAAGAGATAATAGTCAGTGTAGATATGTTTATCCCAGCTCTTCACTTTCATTTTCTCCAGTGTCTGGACCTTTATTTTAGTCGCATGGAATTCCAGATTTCGTAATCTGTTTTTTGTATAGTAGTAGTAAATGAGAAGAGATACAGCAGTTCTGTGCTATGCTGTTACTCCATTTGTCCTACATTCTAGTCTTGCTTTCGTTACAACTGTTTCTCATATAAGGTTCCGTACAAAAGTGAATTCAGCACATATTTATTTGGTCTGTTTTTTTTATAGTCAATCATGTGCTGTATACTACGTCTAAGACTTACTATGTCGACATTCATCACATGACTGGTGTAATTAACATTACTACTTCATAGTTAATTAACTATTTTCAGTTGTAATTATATAATGTCCAACCTTTCATTTCAGTTTGATAATATTTAATTTTTATCCATTCCAAACTGTAGTTGTATGCATACTGCCTGAATAATAACCTTAAGTGTGTTGCTCTCATTAAAGAAAGTTCGCATTAGGTAAACATAACTACCTTAAATTAGAGATACCTTTTCGTCTGAACTGTTTTCTAATTCCTATAATTTCTAACATCACGTGATCACTGTGTAGTATCACTAATGTATCAGAGTGTTATACTGATGCTCTCAGTAATCAGGAAAGTTGGTTCGAAATTAGCCCACTTATAGGGGGGGGGATAAGTCACTGTAAGTCACTGAAACTGTATAGAAGAGTGGTTCACTTCAACGTAAATTTTTTTAAAATCACTATTTGAATTCTGCTGATTAGCCATGATGCTGCACACCATAAAAATAATCTCTGTTATAGTGAAGATGTACTTTGAAATAAATAATCCCATAAGCACACCATAGATTCTGTTACTGAAAATAACATGATCGTAAGAAATTTTCATTTCAGTGTATTCTTTGTTTTTCTTTCTCATGTGCCCGCGTCAGTCTTTTATTTTAGAAGTTGTAAGGATTCTCTACTCCATAATGTCACGTTGAGTGCAGTCTTTATCGTTAAATATCTTTAAATTACCGAATAGTGTACTTTTAATGGCCGTTCAAAAGGTGTGCAGTACAGAATACAACCTAATAGTAGTGGTAAAGAAAATATGTGAAGTCATAAAAAAGAATATAAAAGCTGTAGTAATTTACTGTGTTATATTCAACTATGAAATGGTAGAATATTGAGAGATATGCGAAAGAAGAGAGCAAACAATAGAAGAAAAATAGAATACACATAATGAAGTTATTTCCATTATGAATAAATATTGTTTGGCAAAAGAAGATGAGGATCAAACTCAGAAACCGGACAAAAAAAACTCGAAACAGGAAATTGTGTTGATAAGTAAGTAACACAGTATAAACAACCTTCGTATGGATTAAAACCAGGTGAAATAGTTTTAAGGCGGAAATTGGATTGATTTTCCACTGATTTCAAGAGAATTCACTATTGATTAGTATTATGGCAGGGGTTTCTTTTAATTACTTTAATAAATAATCCCGTGTTTTGTTTAACTTCTATGCAGTGTAACATTCGGTGTTTGATGTGCTGCTTATTAAACAGGCTGACGGGATTTGATTAGCTATAAAACCCAATTTTAAACCATTTTAAACTATTTATCATTCACTAACTTATTCGCCGAAATAATTCCTCCACGTCTGTCTCCATAGCAGAGAGGCTAAAGTAGTAGTATCAAGGTAGTAACAAATAGAGACTAGCGGTACAAGCTACTTCGCTAGGCTATTCAAATACATCAGAATAAATTTGTCCAAATTCTAGTTCACTCGTTAGTCAAGTGTGCTATTTAATGTCATAGCAACGTATCTTATACCGTCAGTAAAAACGACAGATAAAATTTTCAAAAAAAAAGCGCAGATTACTTACAGCTCATGCATTATATCGTGAGTGGATGTAAGATTTTCATGTCTAACGTCGTACAATTAAATTAAATACTTCCTAACATATCATTTCACTTTTTTTGTAGTTGTTATGGTTAAGTTTGTCAGTACATGAAGTTCAGACACTTGTCTGTAAACTGCAACTAACTTAACTAATCACACTATTATAGCTCATCGACACGACTAGTTGTCGTGTTTAACTGTTTTTAATTACGATTGTCTCGTAAACACGTAAGCCTCCATTTAATTGTTTAGAGTGTTATAATAGTAGAAAACAATTCCATTTTCGAGTTTTCACAACAGTTAAATCTCCTTGCCAAATGAAATCTCCCAACTGAAGGTATTTAGCCAAAAAAAGCAGATTGGTTTCCTAAAGTCTTAGTTTTATTGCTTCTGGAATTGATCGTTTATCGATAAGATCATTCAAAAAAATCCATTGCCCTCTGTGTATTTTGAACTCAGACTCACTTATTTTGATATCTTATCAGCAGTCTTGATAAAACAAACTTCAGTAGTTATCCTAAGTGCACACATGTACATATGAATAATTTTCAGAAAATCATCACAAACTTCATCGGAATTGTCAAATAAAATGTGAATATATATACATATATTGTTTGTTAATATTCCAAAGAAGTCAAATGCCTTTATATTTTATAATTGTATAATTTCATCACCAACCAGTTTTACCTAAACACCTTAAGTGTTACCTTTTCTTACCGGTTTGGGACTCTGTCGTCTAGACATTGAACTTCTAAACACTGAATCATGTCTTCAGACCCCATCAAGTGCTGGGCGAACAAGTAATGTGATCCCTTACACATTGGTTGTGGCATATTGCCAACTCCATCTAAATATAACTGGTAGTTTCGTTTTTCTTGCTACTCTAGCTTGTGTATCCCTTGATTTATAATATTGGATGTCCAAGGTTGATACTGAGATTGTGTAAAGAGCCGATTGAAAATGAGAGTAGAGAACATAGTGTTGTAATAGATGATTAGTGTTGGTGAAGTCTTGTATTCTCTTTAGGCATGTAATGAATGAAAGAATTGTAATAATACTAATGATAAATGACTTATAATGTCACCTTTTGTCCACAACTACTTTTACTGTCAGTTTTCATTCAATCGAATAATTACCTTACATTCAATTGCAGTGAATTTGAGTATGATGTCGTGTTGACTAATTCAAAGAACAAAATAATAATTATCATTTGTACAACTCAAATCTCGCATTTCTAATATTGTACTATCATAAATGTCTAAGAAAAAACTCACAAACTCATAAAATTTATTACATATGCGTGTATTAATTATGTAAAGTTAAATTTTCTCTCTCTTTCTTTCGTGTAAATGTTGACTACCATATGTTTTGACTTTGAATTAAGGTGATCTTTCTTCATGCAGCATTCTTTTGGATTTAAACACTCTCTTGTTTCTCTCTTGTCTGCTTATCTACCAACGTTGTTCAATTGAACGTGATATTTTGACACTGGAAGTGTTCGCGTTTATTAAACAGACTACTTTCTACGCACTGTGAGGGATAATTGGAACTGAAATGCGAAAATGTAGTCTCCATCAAGATTTGAACCAGAGTCCTTTTACGTCTACTGAATAAATAATAAATAATGTAAAATAATCTTGTCTGTGAAAACTAAATTGGTTTCTTTTCTCAATCAATACCGACTGATGGTTTATTATTCGCATACCCTCATGTGTAACAAGTCAATAGCTTTTCGTTTTTAGACCTCTCTAGTGCAATTTCATATTATCGGAAGGAGATTATAATTAAGTTTATTTCACTTAGTTTTTTATTCAATAATTTCTCGATTGAATTTGTTTTCCTTTTTTTTAATTTTAGGTTTCCCGTGTAAAGAATTACGATGTCGATTAGCCATTGCGATTACAGCCAATTTCACTAACTATCATACTCCAGCTGAAGCTCAAGTTGAAGAGATAAGCGGTGTAGCTCGTATATTCAATCAATCATTTTTCAGTCGTCTTGCCTCTGAAACTGGAATAGACTTAGAGAATATTGTCTATTACAAGGATGAGACACATTATTTTGTTATGACAGCTAAAAAGCATAGTCTACTGGCTAAAGGCGTACTAAAACAAGTGAGTTCATATAATTCATCAAATGGTTTGTTTATTTAAGTATATTACATATACATACATGTATATTTGGTGTGTCGGTTGTTGTGTGGTAGAATACTCGCTAAGCATACACATAATCTGGGTTTTGATCCCCAGCCGACGCACTTTTAAAATCCACTTAGCTTGTGGTATGCCGAGTAAAGAAAGAGGAGTGAAGCCACCTCACCCCTTAAAAAAAAACTGCCAGTGAAACTTTGGAGTCCCATATTGCATATCTTTACTGCACCTGTTTCCGGTGTTTTCAACTGTTTGTGAACTAGTCGCTTCGCATTTATCATCTTATTAAGTTACTGTTGGAAGCAATTGTACGAAACATGATCGGTCGAACAAAATTAGTGTACAGGATGAAAAATAAAGCGTATAGATTGAACTTGTATTCCAATAAGACTTTCAAATCTATCTTAGTTATCCTACTTGATTTTTTCTAAGGGTTGACTTTTAACTCTATATTCGTATGTTTATAAAGCTTATAGGAGATTTGCTTATGAATAATTCTGCGATCTCTAGACGGTTTCTTCATTAACATTAAGAATATATGTATATCGCCTATGAGGTTAACTTTTAGTTCAGTGTTCAGTAGTAAATGTTTTGATGCCAACCAATATGTCTGTAAATGTGTCAGTCAATTCATTTTCTATATCCTTCTTATAATGATAATATCATCAACGTTAGCATACACACATATTCAACGTAAGTTCCATGTATTTCATAAAATGAATATATAATCTACTCAGTGTATTCGCCTAATAATGTTGATATTTAATCTATCGTTTATGCATGTTTTACTTTTACACCATAAGTTATAAATCATCTCGCCTTTCGTTTCACTTATCCTCTGAATTAATCTTACTTTATCCTGGTTGTGTGTAACCACTATGAAATAAACTATTTTTTTCAAAAAGTTTTCCTAGTATTTGAATGCAAGTATTCAAGTGTGTTTGTTTTCAATAATTGTTGCCTTTCCTAATTCTGATGCAAGACAAATTTCATGTGTGTGTGTGTGTATTTTTGTGGTAAAAACCTCAAAAATGTCTATTGGTCTGCTTATTATCATTCTGTATCTCGTTACTGCTATTTAATAAAGAAAATGCCAGAATGCCACTTTCAAACTTCATGAAATTAGTTTTTCGTATTTGTAAGTGCCAAATACAAAGAGAGAATTTGGAAGTTATGCAGTCACATTTATGTATATATGATAGATAATCATTAAGACGAAGAGAAATTTAGATTTCCATAAAGCGAAAATTATTCTGGTGGTGTTTTTTACATGTAGTTGTATGGTCCATTTTTCAGTATGAAACTTTGTAAAAAGTGTTTGTAGGCATACCTGTCAGTGTATCACATGCTAAAGAGAAAGCCCCTGCGAACAGATTTGTTTCCATTTTCATTATTCGCAAGAGCTGGACAACTGCCTTTCATGATGTAATTAGTTATCTCATCTATTTTTACGCCCATGTTACAGTGTCTTGTAAGTTCTAGTCAAAAAGACAATAAAGTCAGTATTCGATACTTAAAAGACGTCAAAAGTTTACAAAGTAAATTTCAGTAGTTCTCGTAAATCACGAATAAGTCGATATCTTGAAGTGATGCAAGGGTAACAAAATAAAAATTTTCAAAGATAAATAAATGAGCGAGAATTTTACGAGTGAAGACTAGAGCTTTCCTTTCTACTGTACTATGATCGGACATGTTGATATTAGATATTTTGTGTTCCCTTGTGATTTAAGTGGTTAGCTTCACGATAGCAAATGAATATATTCCGTTTGCATATATTCATATAATATTTTTAAAAAAACAATGATATGAACTATCCAGACAACCATGTAAATCCTAAGTCTTGTGAATGTGCATTGGAATGTTGATAAATAAGTGACTTATGCAGACAAAATATCCGATACTTCAGAAGTGAGGTCATATTTTCGTTTCATTCAACTTATGTTTATTCTAAGGTTGTTTTGACTGAATCCAAGATAGTTTGTTTTGAAACACTTTTCAAATGTGTAAATATTCAAGTTGAATACTGATTATCCCTACTTAGAATTAAACACTTTCCTCAATATGCTGTCAATTCCCATAAGAATTGTATTTGTTACTCAAATTAATCTGCTAAAGGTACATTTTTCGACGGCAAACACGTGAAGGTCTACGTATATGTTTAGACTATTGACAGGAAACACTGTGATTTCAGCTTCGTTTATCTTAACACTTATCTATAACCTCAGGATATGTAAACTCTGTTTTTTTGAATACATATGGTATAGTTGTTTTTATGATACTATATTAGATGCTACTGATAACACGTCCGATTTTGGCGAGTGCAGTAATTATCCACATTATTATTGGTTTTGTCAATTAAAGTTTCTTAAATATGATTACAAGATATTTTTAACATATAACATAAGCTTTATTCCAAATCAGTACTTGTGATACAGAATGGAATTCTCAGCATTTTACTACAATATTGCATCCAGTTTTTACATTAACAATAAATAAAGTTCTACATAGATTAAAGTTATCTCAACAACATATTAGTATGTCGGTAGCAAAGCCAAAATTAAAGTGTTTGAAGGTGTTAGAAAAGTAGATACTACTAGCATATTTACTGGCGTAAGCGATAGCAAAATGGTCGAGATATACAGAGTGTGAAAGAACGAACAAGAATGTTTTAAGTAGAGTTTGCAAGGAAGAGAGAAACAAAACAGCACATAACAAAAATAAATACAGAATGAAGAGCGAGAAAACGTTGTACCTATAAATGATGTGAGTTGGAAAGACGAGATCCATTGGTTCTACTGACTATTTAATAAGTTAAAGGTTTCATGCCTGATGCATTCTTTATCGCACAGAACACGGGCTAGGTAGGGTATGGATGAGTTTTTGTACTTACTAGTGCGGGCATATAGTTTCCTATATAGGCTTCTTGTTTTCCCTGAAGAGATACATGGGGAGAGTTGTGAATGTAGAGGGTGTTGTGAGTCAGATAAAATGGATTTCGCCCATTTTTCACATGAGTCCATGTGCCTGTCCACCAGAATATTAACAAGCTGGCTAAGTGGCAAACTGCTTACCCTGCTGACAACCTTTAACATCCTACGTAATAAGGTATAGTCTTTCTTCAATAGCCCAGGAAAGACTAAGGGGGAGCAATAGAGAATAATAGGCAGAATACGGGAGTTAACAAATTGTAGGAGTAAGGGTTGGGTTACACCAGAATGTCTTAACTTCTTGATGTAGAAGGTAAGACGGTATATTTTCTTGGAAATCGTCAAGATATGAGACGACCAGGAAAGATCAGAAGATAGAGTGACGCCTAGGTATTTAATTTCCGACTTGGTTTCTATTTCACTGCCATCTATGTTGCACACCTCGTGAGTGCTAACCAGTTTGTTTAGGTCAGATTTATGCCTAAAGGTGAAATTAACTGTTTGGCATTTGGAGGGGTTTAAGGTTAGACCGTTTTCCTTGGACCATTGGCTAATTTCTGATAAGAAGCCATTTAGTTTAGAGCAGTCACTTTGACATTTGACAGGTAAAGATACAGTTAGGTCATCAGCATATTTGACAAAGTTAATGTCATTTGAAGACGGTAGGTCATGTAGGAAAAATGAAAAGAGAAGTGGGGAGAGTACAGCACCTTGGGGGACACCAGCTTCTGTGAGCACAGCAGAGGAGGATTGGCCTTTGTATACGGTGTACTGCATTCTGTTTGAAAAGTAGGAATGCAACCAGTTAGTGACCCAGGACTCGGTTTGTGTCATGGAGAGCTTATTTAGCAAGAGACTTCTAGGTACAGAGTCGAAAGCAGAAGTAAAGTCAAGAAACGTGCAGCGGACATATTTGGCACCTTTGTCTAATGATGAGACAATACTGTTGTGTAAGACGGCTGCAGCGTCTAAAGTACTCCTACCCTGTCTGTAGGCAAATTGTTTGGGGTCTTCGAAGCTTTTAAGGGAGGGTTCGAGTTTAAGAAGTACTAGTTTTTCCATGAGCTTTAGAAACGGGGAAGTGATGGCGATGGGTCTGAACTTTACGTTCTTGCTATTTCCAGGTTTAGGGACAGGGACTATTTTAATGTCTTTCCATGGAACAGGTACAACGTTTTCGGAGAAAGAAGCATTTAGGATATTAGTTAGAGGAAAACATAAAGCATCTGCACATTGTTTTAGAACATATGCAGGTATGCCATCAGGGCCAAGACTATGTGAGGGCTTAAGAGTTTTAAGACATTTCAAAACATCGAGAGTATTGAAGTCCTGGAAGTTATCAGCTACAAGATTGGTAACGTTAGAAGTGGTTATAGTAGAAGGAGAGCGTATAAAAGACAGATTAAGAGCATTAACATCACAAGAGGGAAAAACATTACATCGCTTACTATTGCCAGTAATTTCATTGAAAAGTTTCCACATGCTGTTAGGAGATTTGCATGATAAAAGTGTTTGGTTATAGATAGCATTAAGATTTTTGATTTCAGATTTGATTTGAGCATTAATCTTTTTAAGTCCTAACTTGTCTTTGCATTTATATAACATTTCTTTTTGCCTGCGAAGTTGTTTGAGATGGGGAGACGAGAAGCGGTCGAGGCGTTTGAACAGTGTTTGTTTGGGACAGCATATGTCGAGGCAGAACTTGAGATAATCCATTATATTGGTGATTGAGTCATCTAATGTACTTTCATAGAATAGATCCCAGTTGTTTAGATGTGAGATTTGTTTTCATTTATGCTAACTCTATCTTAACGGACGAATACAAGTAACCTGGCAACTGCGTCAACACTACGAAGTGCAGTACCACTCGCCTCGTTCATCAGCTTTATGAAGATACCACATGTCAAGTGACTTATAACGCGTTGCTCAACTAAGCCTTTGTCATCGATGCTATTCCTGATTGTGGTGGACTGAATCATTCAACAGCCTGTGGGTAGCATAAAGACGTGCATACATTGGACTGACAAGGAGACACTAAAAGATCTGGATTTCACAGTTGATTCTTGTCTTGTATCACACAAACTCAAAGATTCATATGCGAAAACGGACTTTGGCTAATATATAGTTGACAGAGGTGATGAAGATACCCGATCAAAAACAACAACAAGCAGAAGTTATCATAATCAAGAGAAGTTCAAACGTTTTATCGACATGTAGCACGGATTAGAATGTCGAGGGTGACCAGGATCAGATCAAGAAAACAAGACAGGTATTCATTACTGTGAAATCAGTTTGGAGACCTACAGCTCTCAGTTCAAAGAACAAGATTCAAATTTTAGACACCAGTGTACCGTTTAGGGACCTGGCCGCATATCTTGAGTCATTTCTCTCAAGACTGCAGACTCGCACCAGCAAACAGCTGCCTTCATTCAATACTTAAAACCCGATAGTTAGAAAGTATATGCAACAAGGAACTTTGATGTATAACTACCCAAGAACCTTTTGCCCAACAGATATGTAGCAGTAAATGAAGGTAGATGGGACACCCTGAGGATAACTTCATATGACATCACACACCGGGAACTCAAGTAAAACCAAAATGGGAAGCGACGAGTTCGCGGTGCGTATTTCACTAATTTATTCCCTATCCGTAGTCTTGTAGTCAGCGAACATCAGTCCTGTAGCAGTACTGTCACTTGGAATCAGTACAACTCATCCCAAATGTAATTTTTTTTCCTGAAAGCTTTCAGAAGGCTATACTTCTCTGGCCTTGCATAACATTTCCATGTAGCCATTAAGCCAAAGAGAACGCTATTTGTTTTAGTAAATTGTTCAAATTTACTAACGAAAGTGGTGACAGTATTCTTATCACTTTAAATGATAACTCCGCGTAAACATTTTTAAGATTTTGTTAAAAGCAATGGTAAAGTCCATTGATGGACATAACCTGCCTTCTTAGTGCTATATTCACAACCAGATGTCACCGTAACACTTCTTGATAGACTAAGTCCAATTCCTCCTCTGGAACAAGTTTCGAATCCTCACTAAAAAGTCTGGTTTTACATTTTCACACCAGTTTGTTTGAAATATCTCACATTCCCACATTAGCTATCTTTCTGTAAAGTTGATTCGGTAGTTTTTTGCTATCTTTAATTATTTCTGAGATCTGTTGTCTCATTGTAGATCAGAGATAGGGTTGACAACTTCTGGAAAAGTGAGATAGTTGGTATTTGTTTATTATTCAGATTAGCGTTTTGTATTGAAGGGGTGGGATTGTTGTTCATATTTAAGCTCTTCGAAGTATTCTTTTCGGACCTTCAACAAGGATGATTAGTATTTCTTATGCGCCACAATTTAGCAGTTGCTCTCTGCTTGACGTACCTGAAGAAGGTGAATTAGTTTTGCTCGAGCACATTGTTATGTACTCGTCGCTAAATTATTGTTATGGACTGGTCGAGAAAATAATAGTCCTGACGCAAGAAGGCGGAAATCAGAAGACCACTAGGTTTGCGATGATACTTCTATTGTCCAAACACAAGGAGACGAAAATAAATGGTCTCACGCCAAAGTGGTAAGTACGTAAAGTAGTTCACATAAATTGTGTGAGCGAAATATATATGACAAGGGTGTGAACAATCATTAGACAGTCTTAACATGAATGGCTAATTATAATGAAGCATCGATCCACATATACATAGTGAAATATAACAGACATGTCAACAATCACCATGTATGGATATATGTCACCAAGCAACGGATTGTCAACAAACACTCATATTATATATAATATAAGGAGAATACACATTATTAAAGGAGACAAGTTCATACAAGTGAAGTGGCCACAGACTAAGCGAGCAAATACAAAGAGAGACCAACATACACACACATAAATATATATATGTGGATACATATCACACATGTAGTCCAAGAGACATCAGCTTTAGACTGATTGCATACTATCTTTTCACTAAATTATCGTTGCATTTTTGTCTTAATAAAGGTTGTACAGATCCCATAGGTATCTTTTTCTAACCCCTCCTTTCCAGATTAGTAAGACAACATCGTGATCTATCTAGTCATATCTTGGCATTATAAAAACTATAGAAGCAATAATTCAGGTAACGTCATTATGGTGTGCATGATTGATCTTCTTGCTAAGACATGAAATCGTGGCGAGTGTGACTGAGAATATCCTACTTATGATGTCACTCGACGACTGCAAGTGTCCTGGTGATACATTTTTATAAATAATTTACGTAGACCCTGTTGCTAATGTCTGATGAAGGCATCTGTTTTTTGTGCTAAACACAATTCCCTCAAAATTACTTACTGTGTGTAAGTTGTTAATAAAATTGGGCGAGAAATCTAGGTTGATTGTTCCCTACGTGTGCAATTATTTGATACAGTATAAGTAATTAATAATGATTTCCTAAATAATTCCATTCATGAACTGCTTGTTTAGCTAGCGTTTTACTTTAAAAAATTTTATCTCCGAATATAACTGACCTCGTTGTCTTACACTACACTGACCTCAGAAAATTGTAAAACATTTAATAAAAATGATCTTATTTCAGTGATTACTTAAGTCAAGATGTAGATGAATGAGTCGATGCATGACGCATAATCTAAGCCAATAGTAACAACCATTATAAAAATTTCATTATCACTTTATTCTTTGGTTATGTATTGATGTCTGTTTATTTTTTTTCTCATAATTTATTCATCCTTCTGATGTTTTTGTTGTTGTTCTTTTGTTTCTTTTTAAAATCCATCTATATACAATCTATCAACTCCTGCGCCCTCTGTGTATATGATCCTATAATCTCATGTCATCTCAAGGATCGAGATGATTCAGTCAGCTTATTATGTAAAGATAATGTGGATAAATTAGCTTTGCAGGCTTATGCAAGAGAAACAGCTTCTTATGTTACAAATGGTTCACTGACACGCTTAGATTTCGCTTTAAATTCACGCGGTGAACCAGATGTGGATGCATTCGATTTTACAAAAATGTTCGCTGCTGAATATTCATGTAACATACTTGAAAAGAATCATTGTCTTTTATTACAATGTCTTATCGGTGATGGATTATATGAAGTAAGTGCATTTCGACCATTTATTCACCTACTTAATTTTTCTTCTTATTTTCTAAAAAAATGCTAAAATTTTATTATAGTTGTTGTTGGTTTTCGTACAATTTTTATCATCAATAATATGTGTTTGAAGGTTGTGCATTTTTTTACAGATGCGAGGATTTCTTATATGAATGTAAGATAGTTTTCCATGAATAACATCACCTTGAGCTTGAAACTCACGCTGGATATCACCCCAGTCTTACGAGTATTATATCAAGATCATTATTACTATTATTGCTCCCTTGGGTTCCTAGTAGAACATAGGGCTTCAACTGCACGTCTCCATTTGCTTCTGTCTTCTGCTGTACTTTTCACCCGCATCCATGTTAGTCCATACTCTTTCAACTCCTCTTCACGCGATCTCCTCCATGTCACCCTTGGACGTCCCACACGCCGCTTCCCTTTCGGGTTCCACTTGAGCAATGGCCTGACGCGTGCGCGATGTCACCCCAGCGGTCTCCTCAGAGAGTGTCCAATCCATATGCACTTTCTCCTGCATATTTGTTGGTGGGCGATTGGTTCTGGTTTTATTTGTTCCCATAGTTTCTTGTTGGTGATTCTTCCCAGCACGGCCATCTGATCTTCAGTATAGAGCGAAGACAGTTGTTAATAAAGGTCTGCAACAGGCTGTTGGAAATATTCTTTGTGACTCGCCCGCCAAGTTTCTGATCCGCATAGAAGAACTGACTGACTTGACGTTTGTATTGAAAATTCGAATTTTGTTGTTGATGGTGGCTGAGTGACGAAGATTGGTTTCAGGTTGATGAATGTGTTTCACACCTTCCCGATTCTCGCTCGATTTGACATCCTCGTCCGTTCCTCCTGTAGTTGAGACAATGCTCCCTAGATAAGTGAATGAAGTAACCTCTTTCAAATCCCTCCCGTTGATGTTGATTGACGCTGGATGTTGCTGCTGTTGTTGTTGGTTGGTTATTTTCATTACATTATATCAAGATAGATAGACTTAATGTTTCATTGGTGATAAAGTGTTGTAAGTATAAAACTTGGTTACTGTGGTAGAGTGAGTATAACTCCATTATGGATAAGATTTTATTTTGATAAATCACACAGTGTTGTTATACAGTAATATTAACTGATTGATTTGATTAACACATGCAAGAGCTTCAATTAAAAAGAAAACAGGACTCACTTTGACCCTGTCGGCATACATACATATCTTCCTATTGATTTTCAGTTGGATGTCTACTAACACTAACGTGTCTTAACTGGTTATGACATTACAGTGCACTTTAGTGTTACATATCTCGAATTAGTTATCAAAAAAGGCGTGCATTTCAATTGTTCCTTGAAAAAAAGGTGGCTACTGTTTCGCCGTAACTTTCTCTTATTCCTGTAGTGTTCATTCTGTGTTCAATAATATTTTAAACATGAAAAAGAAACTAATCATTGTAGTAAAACATAATATTTGGTTCGGTTATGATTTAATAATAATGATAATCTACTTTATTCCAAAAACAGTTTTTATAATACAGAATGGAATTCTCAGCATTTGTCACAACACCTTAAATCTAATTTACTTAAAATATATATAAAATTAAAAGTTAAAGCAAAATTAACCAAAGGAATTTGTCCACGTTTACGATATAGTCAAAAATATTAAGCATAATAATGATAACAGTGAATCTGTTTCAAACAATATTGCCGATTCAGTTTAGAAATTGTAGAATGTTATAGATTATTGAATCTAATGTTCTGTTGATATAGTATAGTGAGGGGAAATACAAAATTAACAGTTATAACACAGCTCAAATGTTCACACTTAAGAAAAAATAAATAAATAAAACAAAAATTGAGAGGATTATAAATCTCTCTTTCTCTCTCTGTCTGATTTCGACATAGAACTTTGCACATATGTGCGGCGCTTCAAGTCGCCACACTCCATGTAGCACACAAAGCAAGAGAAGAAAGTAGAAGATACTCATATTAGAGACAGTAAACATAAATATAAGAAGTACCAATAACAAAACTTGATGTTGTAAGGGTTGAGGAAATGGTTTGTTTAGTAGTGCGAAGAAGGTTAGTTAGTTCATGCCTAAAACTATTCTCATCACATAAAGTACGTGCCAAATATGGTATAGTGTGATTTTTATACTTAAACTACTTGTTTTACCTGAAGAGACACAAGGTTGGAGCTGCGGGTATAGTGGGTGCTCAAAGTCTGACAAAATTCCTTTAGCAAATTTGTTGCATGACATCAAGTGCCTATCAGTGACAATGTCAACGATATGACTCAATGGGATACCACTCGTCCTACTGACAGTATGATGAAGTGATAATTTTAGTCTATTTATCATATGTGTAGAAGTTATATAATAATATTTTCTGCGTCTTATAGTAATTTCTTGAGCTGTAGAAGTACACGTTATTTTCTTTAAACATTGAAAAAAACATTGAAAAGATCACGTACTCTTTTTGTTTGTTGTAAAATATCAATTTTCTATTCATTCGTCGTGAACATCATGCCTATTGTCCCTATTTCTGTTTAATTTCATCATAGAAATACCAATGAATGTACAACTAATTTACTTTAGTGACTTAGGGATTAATCTGTTACCATAGCACAGTGCATGCGAAAGATATTGCCCTTCTAGGTGAAGATACTGACAAAATTCAAAGTATGGATAGTGAAAAAAGAGTACTCTTTTCGATAAATTCATCATCAGCCTCTACATTTATACATACATTATAGTGAATGAATGAACTAGTGTTATGAATGATATTAATGTCTAGGTACTTCGAAGCACCGCAGGCTTCAAACAGTAGAGGCTAATACGATTCGCCTCAAACAACCAGCACTATGTGTCCAAAAGAAGCAAGTCCAGCCCCTACTATTGCCCTGGCCTTCAGTAGAAGCTATAAACTCATGAATTTGTACTATTATCTTTCCTAACGTTTCTGACATTCAGTTTATTCTATGTTGATGCGATTCAGCTGTAATCTGTCAATATTATTGATTTGACGTTATTTAAACATTAATGTCATTCATAACACTAATTCATTCATTCACTATAATGTATGTATAAATGTAGAGGCTGATGATGAATTTATCGAAAAGAGTACTCTTTTTTCAGTATCCATTCTTTTGAAAATTTTGATGGGCATTTTTAATCAGTTAAAATTCAAAGTATTTAAGTATTGGTTTATAGGGATTCGGTTGATTGGTTACAGGATTTCTTCATGAGCTGACATTGGTTAGAGAACCATTGAACAACCTGGGACTACTGGACAGCTGGACACCTTCCGGTTACTAGGCAAGCCAGTATACCATTAAGCCACTGGGATCCGATCCAATGACCCATGAATTCTAACTTCTGTCAATTCACGATATAGCTCAACCAATCAAGGTCTCATGAACCCTTGGAGCAGAAATTTTAGTACTCAAGGTATTACCGCAGCGCAGGTCTGTATTGACTTTCAGTTTATTGAGAGAAAGAGAATGAAGTGGCTGAGTATGTTCACCATTCCACTTATATGGGTAGTTGCATCAATCCTGATTGACTGATTGCTGACGAAATCTCTACACAAATATACAAGGCCAGTGTGGCATTTGACAATTTAAGTCATCTGTGATTCAGACATGATATCCGACTATGAACTAAAGAACGTATGTGAAGCGTAGCACTTGGCCACGCCGTTTATAGCTGTGAGACACGACCGTTGATAGAAAAAGACCTGAAGTGGCTAGCTTTCTTTGACCGAAAGTGTTTGCCTCCTGTCTGACGTGTGAAGCGCTTTAATATAATGAGTAATACTGAGTTTAGGCGTAAACCGTTACGTGAAGAGAGCCAGTCAATCAATGGTGTTGTGCAGCTATGTAGACTAAGATAACCAGGACATGTGCTACATATGCCGAACCACCCCCTTCTTCTTTGAGCGGTGATAGTTGATATAGGATAAGTGTGGAAAGGAATCGTAAGAAGTCAAGCCCAAATCTGGTAATAGTCCAGATTGAAGTCTTTGACTGTTGGTTTAAATCACTTAGGGAAGTTTAGACTACCTGGTTGGGGTCGTCGATATGTCATCGATTCCCCGAATACCACACAAGTCTTATCTGACATAACACGTATTAATGCACTGTTCTTAAATGGATGAAATTTTGATCACATCTAGCTAATATTTATGTTATAAGGTATTCAAACAACTATCTAACTTGCTTCAAATAGTTCTCCTCATTCCTGTGTTCTCTCTCTCTGTCTGTCTCTCTTACTAGGGCGTTAACTTTCTGTTTTCCATCATTATTTTTTTCCAGTGGAAAATACACTTATCTATTTTGTTTAGGTTAAGTAAAAAGTTTTATTTTTGGATGTTTTGCTTTTTTCTGATGTGATTAACATTTCGTCTGTTTCTGCTCTTTCAGTCCGTAAAGGTGGTAGTAAACTGACAAAACATTTTGGTGCACAGCAATATGCATAGTTTCACGTTTATTCGTTTTGCAATGGAATGATTAAGCAGTAAAGAAAAAATAGTATGATACATGAAAAGCAAATGACGTAACCAAAAACTTAGGATCATCAACCTCTGTCTGCCAACACTTATGTATATTCTACAAGAATAATACCATACCTCGAAACTAAAACCGTTTAAGTATTGTCTTTGCACGGTCTGCAGAGAACTGGATGAAATGAAAATATGTCTGTTGAAAATTCCTTTGTCCCACTCAGGAACCCAAGAGAATAATAGTAGTATCAATGTGTCTTCATTGGATTATCTATCCGCCTCCTGTTGACTCACCTTTATAACTGAATTTTAGTTTGGTTTTCGAAGTTTGTATGTGAATTAGCCCCAACATTCTATACCTAACCTATCAGCTCATCAACTTGAGGTAATTCCACTTATGTTGTATGCAGTAAAAACTTCTATCCAATATTTCTTATTCATGCATCGGATACTTTTCTCTTTATTTTAGTGTTTATAATAATTCACTTCGTTTGAGGTTAATTA